AGATTTTTCCCCCCCTAAAAAAGTGATATAATTTGTAGATAATTTGGAAAAAATTGAAAATCATTTTAAAAATTAGAAAACCATTTTTTAAAGTATTTTACGTAATTGTGGTAACCTTGAATACACAATTATATATTTAGCTGCTTTTCATTTGACTTTATAATAAGGATTTTCTGACATTTTTTAAAACTCCTTATACGCATTAAAAACAATGCTTTAAGTTTCTTTGCTTTTTTCCTCTTTTTACCTCAAGTAGGCAACTTTAAAATTTTTAACCTTCAGGGTTGTTTTAAGGTTTATCTTCAAGGAAGTTTGAATAAAGAATACTTGACTAGGCAGAAATTTGTCATAAGGTATTGACTGTCAGAATTTATTGAAATCTCATTGCCCTGCCTTTTACAAGAGCAAAACGATGTTATCAAAAATTCAAATATGTATAATCTTCGACTCAAAAATTTCTTCTAGGAATTTATTCAACCAATATACAAATGAATATTTCTTTTATTTATTCTAGAGAGACAAAGGGGGAAAGATAGTTTTTCTCTCTTTTTTCCCTCATGTAGATGAAATAATTAAATTTAATGATTGAATGGTAAACTTTAGCATGTATGTGCTAGATCATCCTGTATACTAAAGCATTGGCCCTTTAACACAGAACCTTTATTATAGATTGTTTGAGAATTCCCCAAGGCAGGTAGATATATTTAGAGGGAAGTGGACCTTAGAATTATAATTATTTTAAAAAACTCTACATGTGTACTTTCATGCTTTTTTTCATTATGATATATGACAATAAAAAGAAAGTTTAAAAACTCATTTGAAGAGTTTTGTGTGTTATGAGCTACTGTGATGGGAAAGGGTAATATTAAAAAACATACAGTTTCTAGATCCTGGTCTTTATTGTTTCTTTATTTACAATGCTTCTCAGTTCTGTTGACAATCTGACATCACTGTCACTGAAACAAAAGCTGTATGGTTAGGAAGAAATGAGAAAGCAAAGGAAAACTTTCCTCTAATTGCTTTAATACCAGCTGAAATGTTTGCACACCTGTTGATACAGTCACCAGGATTATATAAAAGTTATGGCCGTAAATTATTTATTCTGACATAAGTTATAGTTTAACCTTAATTAGGCTGCTAAATTGTTTAAAACCAAGTATTAATCTTAAAAAAAAACTTACTTTATCCTCAAAGAGGAGTTACAAATATAACTCTTGTAACCATGAGGCAGGCAGTGGAGGGAAATAATCTCAGCTTTGAGTCTCAAATCAGGCCCTCAGAAAATTTAGATATGTCTAAGGATGTTTATGGTTCAAGCTGAGCTTTTAACATATTTCAATCATAAATGTATGCTTTCAAGAAACATTTATTGGGAAATACTATGTATCAGTGAGATACTCTCTCCTTAAGGAATTTATAGTCTTCTGAGGGCAATGTGATATAATAAATGATAGGGGAGAAGTATATATACTTAGGCACACCCAGGTGAGGTACCTAACCCAGAGGGTGGGGTGGAGGGAAAGACAATGTTAGAGAAGGTTACGTGGAAGATGTGAGTCCTATAGGCAATCCTTAAGAAGAAGGGGGAGTAGGAAAAATAAATGTATGGGTTCTTCTAGACAGAAAGAACTTGGTGTGCAAAGGCCAGTAGGCAAAAATGACACATTAAGAGTACTTAAAATAGTTTTAGAAAGATAGAGCATAGTGCTCTCGGGGAAAGAGGCCAGAAAGAGAATAGTAAGCAGCCTCCTAGTTTGGGTGCTAAAGAGTAAACCCTCAATTTTGTGGACCTCAATTTAATGGACTTCAGATTTAACCGGATTTAATGGACAAAATTTCTGGTCCATATGTCATATGTGAAAATTATCACGCTGTTAATTTTAAAATGCTTTTAACCAAGATTTGCTCATAATTAAATTATTTTTTGTTATTAACTCACTGTTATTTTTAACAAACTTTAGCGAATAGGCCATATGTTGGAAAATACATTGTAGTAATTTCGCCAACATAAATAAATACTACATATCTACAACTGTAGTCTACCTATAATCTATTTATATTTAAATCCAAGAGTCCTCACTCGTTAATAATGTTTGGTAAGTGATTAGCACGTGATCAAACCACAAGGATCACGGTAATTGGTTCTGTTGTGGTGGTTGTGACTTTCTGCAGCAGTTTTAACACTGGCAGCGGATGTTCCAACATGTGCTAAGCCATGCCCCAGCCGAGTACATTTGTTTATTCTTGGTGGCTAGTGAATGCACACATTTACTAGACCTATTCAGTATAAATTTAAAATTACTGTAATACATATAGAAAACTTTTCTGTAAAATTAAACTTTTCATACATGCTTAATTTTAATTATACAAACGTGGCTACATAAGTAAAAACAGATTAATTTGTCAATTTTTTAACAGGTATTCAGAAAACTTACTTTATTATATAATGGACTTTCAGCTTTAACGGACACCCCCTCTCCTGAATTATTCCATTATATCAAGGTTTTACTGTACTAAGGAATTTGGTCTGAGAGGAGTATTTAAGAAAATTTTAAGCAGGGGGAAGGGAGTTATAGAATTAGATTTGAGCTTAAAGATCATCTTGGATAGAGGAAGAGTGGAATTGGAAACCCCCTACCTCTGGCAGTATAGTGGTCAGAAATTAAGTCTTGAGTAAACTTAATTTTAAACCTGTAATGGAAAGTAAAGGAAATCTTCAGGGCTACCAAACAAACACCAAAATTAAAATCCTAGAGGTAAGCAATAAAGAAACTAATTTGCCCTCAGACAAATTGCCAGATCAGTTCAGAGATTCAGGAATAAACCTTGGGGTTGAGATAAAAGCAGGAAACTAGATATATAAATATGGTCCCAGTTGTGTGACATTCCCCCAAACTTCTTATGCCCAACTCTCAGCAAAAGCAAATGCGGATCTTCCTCTCTAGAGGAAGACATCCTCAGTTAGGTCTCCACAATCTTGTAGATTCACAAAAAATTAAATATAGACCTCTTAATCAAATATCATCAGGCATACAAAGAATCAAACATCCATGAGAAAGAATCAGGAAAAATGAGAAATAATAGCTCATTCAAGGACCTCAGATCAGACAATAAAATATCTGTGACATTTTTTAAGGAAATCAAATGTGCAACAAAAAGAAATGATCACAAATGACCAGGCAAATGTAAAAAATAACTACATTGAATTTTAGAAATGAAAAATAGTTGAAATCAAAATCTCAGGGTTAGTTTAACATATTAAATACAGATGGCGAGAGTAAATTGCAAGCCAGATATGAAATGACTCTTCAGAAAGCAGTATAGAGACAAAAGAAATGGAAAATATAAAAGAGAGGTTAAAAGACATGGGGTTTAAAGAAGTTAAAAGGCTTTCCAGAAAGAAAGTGTAAAGAAAATAGAAGAAAGCCAAAATTCTTAGAGATAAGAACTGAGAATTTTTAAGACCTAAGAAATGAACCTACAGATATAGGAAGCATATCCCAAATAAGATAAGTAAATTCACACACAATCATTTTGTAGTCAAACTGCAAAACAGCAAGAGAGAAGATCTTAAAGGACCAAAGAAAAAAGGCAAATCACCCACAAAGAAACCACAAGCAATAAAGGTGATAGATTTCTCACTTGCACAATGAGAAAGCTAGAAGAGGAAGACATATCTTTAATGTGATAGAGCAAACTATCAAGCTAGAATTTTATATCCAGAGAAACTGTCTTTCAAGAACGATGGTAAAATAAAGACATTTCAGATAAACAAAATAGAGTTTGCCTCCAACAGACATTCACTTTAGGAAATTCTACTTTAGGAAGAAGGAAAATGGTACCAGAAAGGAGGTCTGAGATGCGAGAAGGAATGGTGAGCAAGGAAATTGGTAAGCATCTGAGTAAATCTAAACAAGTGCTACCTGTGTAAAGTAATGATGCTGCTAATAATGTCTGATTTGTGAGGTTAAAAAAGGATAAAATACTAGTCAACTAAGACAGCGGTTAATATATTGACTCATTTAAAAAATAAATTTGATCTTGTGTTAATTTCAAATTGCCATGCATGTTAAAATGTCAAGGGTAACTTATTTATTTATCTTTATTGAAAGTATTACAGATGTTCTCTTTTTCCCCCAATGTCCCCTTCCACCCCGCCCCTCACCCCTCCCCATAAGGGTTCCTGACTACTCTAGCCCAAAAGTGACTTATAACTTGAAAAACTATCATCTGAACCTAACTTAACAACAGTCATTTATGCCTGTCTCTTCTGCTTTTACAACTGAGCTTTTATTTAAATATTATATTATCACAGAATTTTGCTGAAGTTTGCATGGTCTTTCCAGCTAGATTTTTAGCTCTTTAAGACAGTGGCTGTTTCATACATGTCTTTGTATCCTCTGTAGCACCTAGGGAAGGGAAACTAACATTTAAGTGCCTACTAAATGCTTTCTTGTATATAACATCTCACTTATTCCTCACAGCAAACTTATAAAGATAGATATTAGTGTCCCCGTTTTACAAATGAGGACATTGCACTTGAAAAAGGTTAAGTCACATACCCAGGGAACTTAACTAGTCAGTGGCAGAGCTGGGTCAACTACACCACCCATCAAAATAGCTTGTATCATTAATTCATATTGTGGAGGAGTAAAAGACTCAGATGGTTTGTGCATTTTTCTATTGACTTATTTGTATCCTACTCTGAAATTTGGAGTGTCATGGAAACAAATTTCAAAGAAACCCAAATTCTTCTCAAAAATTAAAGTTTGACGTGCCAGTTATTAACTAACAGCCAAATACACAGAGAACTTAAAGTCAGACAGAAAATCGTATAGGGTGGGGTAGATTAAGGGAATTAAAGAGTCTTTTATTCTATACTTTGCTTTGAATTCATGAATTATGACGTGAAATGAATCACAACAGAGTGTACCATTCTTAGGGTGCTTGCTGCAAGTCCATATCCCTTTCAGAACATTCTTTCTCTTTTCCCTTTTTAGGGTTACACATCTTTCTGGAATGACTGCATATCATCTGGCCTGCGAGGGGGCATCCTGATAGAGCTGGCCATGAGGGGTCGAATCTATCTGGAACCCCCCACCATGCGTAAGAAGCGACTACTAGACAGAAAGGTACAGCATCCTCTGAACATTCTCTGAGCTTACGAAAGGGCAGGTGTCAGTGGTCCATTTTGGAGGAATAGAAGATTTGAGTAGTGAGACAAGATCAATATCACTGACTCAGCTGTCCCATGGTCTAATAGGTTTATTCTGTATCAGAGGGAGAAATGCAAGGATCCATAGTCGTTAAAGAGTTACAAGAGATTCATGCTTTTGTCCTGCATTTTTATGCAGGAAAATCACACTTAGGATGCTGTTGATTATTTCTCCCTCTGTAGCTATAGCTCTGACATGAAAGAGAGTATAGAGGATGTAGACATTCTCCTATATAATACTAGGGTGAGGTGCAATCTTTGCTGAACTCTGGTCATCCTCAGATAATCGTTAAATTTCTCTCCTTCCACATACTGCAAGTTCTCTGCAGCATGTGAGCCATGCTCCTGTCTCCATTTTCTTACTCCTTTTTCCACTCACAATTTCACTGTCACACTTAGCACTCTGAGCACTGAAACCACATTCATATGTGTCACCAGGTTCTTTTCTCTCTTTGTCTCTTTTAACCTGTATGTGGCATTTGACACTTGACCACCTCCTACTTGAAACTTTCTTCATTCTTGGCCTATGTTATGTTACATTCTCTTGCTTCCCTTTGCATAACTTCTATCCTTTTAAAGACATCGTTTACCTTTACAGCTTCATCCGTTACCTCCATGATACTAACTGCTAAATCCTAGGCCTGTCTTCTTTTGCCACCCCCAGGAACATATTTATAGCTGTTGGCTAGGCATTTCAACTTGTCTATCCCATGTCAGTTAAAACCAAACTTAACTTTTCCCCCAAACTGGCGTATTTTCCTGATTTTCCTACCTTTATTAATTGTTTTACAAGTAGGTTTTCCAGACTAAAAGAATCATTATTGAATCTTTTCTCCATTATCACTTATATCCAGTTCGTCACTAGGGCCCACATCAAATGTTATTTGTCTCCCCACTATCACCCCATACTAGATTTTTCAACTTCTTAAGAACAGGGACAGTATATTATGCTGCTTTGCATTTTCTACAACATTTAACCAATAATGTTTATATGGTATATTGAAAGATTTTTATTTGAATGAGTTGAATGAACCAGGATCCTTTATTTCTTCTTTTCTGAAAGGTACTGCTGAAGTCAGACAGCCCAACGGGTGATGTTCTACTGGATGAAACTCTCAAACACATCAAAGCCACTGAACCCACAGAAACTGTCCAGACATGGATAGAGCTACTCACCGGTAAGGTGGCTCAGATAATTCAGAAATCCCACACTTTATAATCTTTATCCTACTCTTAAGGTCAGAAAAAGAAGTACAGAAATTCAAGGGGCAGGATAAGGTATATACAGTTCACTGTTTAACTGTACTAATGAGGAACAGAAAAGGCATGATTAATTAATACCTAAAGTTTTCCAAAGCTTCACCTTACTTTCTGCCACCCTGTTTCATAAGCTCTTTAACAGTATTCTTCACAAATTTTAGCAGCTTTATTGATATATAATTCACATACCATACAGTTGACCCATTTACAGTATAAAATTAAATGGATTTTAGTGTATTCACACAATTGTGAAACTATTCATCACAATCTTAAGTTTATAACACTTTCATCACTCCCAAAATAAACCCCATACTCAGCAGTTTCCCCCACATTTCCCCCAACCCTCCTGCCCAGCTCTAGGCACTCACATTTTGTCTTTATAGATTTGTTTATTCCATATATTTCATATAAATGGAATCATATAACTTAAGTGTTTTTTGTGACTGGCTTCTTAAGATAATGTGTTCACCCTAGCCGGTTTGGCTCAGTGGTTAGAGCGTTGGCCTGTGGCCTGAAGGATCATGGGTTTGGTTCTGGACAAGGGCACATACCTCGGTTGCAGGCTCACCCTGGTCAGGGTGCGTGTGGGAAGCAACCAGTTGATGTGTCTCTCTCACATCAATGTTTCTTTCTCTCTCTCTCTCTTTCTCCCTTCCACTCTCTCTGAAAAGCAATGGAAAAAATATCCTTGGGTGAGGATTAAAAAAAAAAGGTAATGTGTACAAGGTTCATCCATGTTGTGCAGCCTCTATCAATACTTCATTCCTTTTTTCTTTTTTAAGAGCAATTTAAAAAACTTTAATGTCTATTCAAGTTCTTACTCATTTTTAAATTGGGTTCTGTTGCTATTGTTGTTGTTTGAGTTTTGTCAGATTTGCAGATACTTTCATTCTATAGGTTGTCTTTTCACTTTCTTGATAGTAACCCTTGATGTATGAAAGTTCTTAATTTTGCTGAAATTCAGTTTATCTATTTTTTTCTCTCATGGCCTGAATTTTTGATGCCATATCCATGAAAACACTGTCCTTTCCCCATTGAATGGTCTTGGTAGCCTTATTAAAAATCAATTGACCATACATGTGAAGATTTATTTCTGGGCTGTCTATTCTATTGCATTGATGTATGTGTCTGTCCTTATGCCAGTACCATACTGTTTTACTTACTATAGCTTTGTAGTAAGTTTGAAATTGACTCTCCCAACTTTATTCTTCTTTTTCGAGATTGTTTCGGCTATTCTGGGTTCCTTGCAACTCCATATGAATTTGAAGACTGGCTTTTCCATTTCTGTGGCAAAGGCTCAACAGAGCAATTTTGATAGAGATTGTGTTGAACATGATGATCTCTTGGGTGGTATTGACATTTTAACAGTGTTAAGTCTTCCTATTCATTAAAATGGAATGCTTGAGTGTTCCTTCTCTTCTGTCTCTTTGAAAGAGTTTGTGAGGGATTGGCATTAATTCTTCTTTAAATGTTTTGTAGAATTACCAGTAAAGCCATCTTGGCCACACTTTGTTTTGTGGGAAGTTTTAAATTCCTTATTCAGTCTATTCACTTGTTGTTGACTTATTCAGAATTTTCTCTTTCTTCTTGAGTCAATTTAGATAATTTGTGTGGTTTAAGGAACTTGTCCATTTCTTCTGTTATCTGATTTGTCGGTTGTATAGTATCCCCTTATTACCCTCTTGATTTCTTTAAGGTCGGTAGTGATGTCTCTCTCTCATTCCTAATTTTAGTCATTTGCGTCTTCTCTCTTTTTTCCTGGATCAGTCTAGGCTTGTCAGTTTTACTTACCTTTTCAATAAATCAAACCAACTTTTGATTTATTGATTTTGTCTATTGTTTTTATTTTCTCTATTTCCACTCTAATCATTATCATTTCCTTTCTTCTGCTTACTTTGGGTTTAGTGTGCTTTTTTTCTTCTAGTTTTTTAAGGTACATTAGGTTATTGATTTGACATCTTTTTTAGACTAGTACTTGGAGTCATACATTTTCGTCTTGACACTGCTTTAAGCTGCATCTGATAAGTTTGGTATGTTGTGTTTCATTTTCATTCAACTCAGAGTATTTTTTAAATTTCCCTTGTGATTTCTTCTTTGACCCGTTGGTTATTTCAGAGTGTGTTGTTTAATTTCCATACATTTTTGAGCTTTCCAAATTTCCTTCTATTAATAATTTTTAATTTAATTCCATGGTTGGATAGCACACTTTGTATATTTTTAGCCCTTTTAAATTTATTAAGGCTTGTTTTAAATTTATTGAGGCTTAGCATATGATTTCTCCTGGAGAATGTCCCATGTGCACCTGAGAAGAACGTCTGTTCTGCTGGTATAGGGTGGAATATTCTGTAAGATGTCTTGTTAGGTCTGGTTAGTTTATAGTGTTGTTCCAAGTTTTCTGTTTCTTTCCCCATAGGCGAGACCTGGAACCCCTTCAAATTACAATACCAGCTGAGAAATGTAAGAGAGCGAATTGCAAAGAACCTAGTAGAGAAGGGCATTCTAACCACTGAGAAGCAGAATTTCCTCCTATTTGACATGACTACTCATCCAGTGACCAATACAACTGAAAAACAGCGACTAGTGAAAAAACTTCAAGATAGTGTTCTAGAGCGGTGGGTAAATGACCCTCAGCGTATGGACAAGCGAACACTAGCACTCCTTGTGCTAGCCCACTCCTCCGACGTGCTAGAAAATGTCTTCTCCTCTCTGACAGATGACAAGTATGATGTGGCAATGAATCGAGCCAAGGACCTAGTAGAACTGGACCCTGAAGTGGAGGGGACAAAGCACAGTGCCACAGAGATGATCTGGGCTGTGTTGGCAGCCTTCAATAAATCCTAAAGCCAGCAGGTGGGTTTCTCCTTTTCCCCCTGCTGGCCTGGTGACTCAGAGACACTATCGCTGAGTTTGGTGTGATGAGATGCTTTTCATCATTTTTCTTTTTTTCTCTTGAATCAGACTTGTGATTTGGGGAGAGCAACTTCAGGGCTTCTCCATAGACCTTGACCTTTATGAGCAGGCTTTATGTCTCCCTATACCTCCATTCCAGGGGTGAATAAACTGGGTGAGCCCACACACCCCCAGTAAGCGTTTTCTCTCATTTCTTAGTTTACTTCCATCTAGTGTGCTTTTGGATAAGCAAGATTATTTAAGTGGGATTTGGTGTTCTCCAGCCACAGAATGTGAATGAGATGTAGAGCAACCATTTCTTACGTTTTTAAAAGTCTGTTTTCTATCTCAAATACATGTCTTCAGTCTTTGTCTCTCAGACTCTGCTGGGCAATGTAGCTCACTGACGTAACTGCCTCTTGAATAAGGCTCAATGAAAACAGACCAGTTTTTGGAGCAGCTGTTCTCTGGGATTATATGTCCCACTAGTGATGTTCTCACTTTCTGGTTCTAAACTAATGAGAATACTCCAGATTCGATTACCCAGTTTGTGTAGCCCTAGCACCAGAAATACAGTCTACCCTCTTTCCTAGCATTATCCCTTTCCATCACTAGGACAGAAGGTCTATGAAAAAAGTATATCTCTCAGCCACCTCCTTCATGCAGTCAGCATTGCAATTCGTAAGGGAAGGAGGGGGTGGCAGAACTTCCACCCTTTAGCACCTGACTACCCTGATTCCTCCAGACAATTTTAAATCTCTCTGCTCTGATTGAATTGAGAGAGTTGTAAATTTCAATTGCTGAATAGCAGCATCCTGAATCTAAATACTGTATTTACACTCCAGGTCTTCTTCTTCCCTGTTTTTGGCTTCCTGTATAAATTAATAGATTTTCCCTATATTTAAGCATTCTGGAAGTAGTTTTGTTTATATTTAATCCACAGATACCTTCCTAGTCATTAGTCTTTTCTCAACACAACCATCTTTCTAGCCAGATTTCTAAAATGTTTCTCCATTTAGTAGTAAGGGCAAAGAAAAGCTTATTAAGAAAAATCCTATTTGGAGGGTCAATTTAAAAAGCATGCTTTTTAAAAAAAATTTTCAAAAGCTTGCTGATATAAAGTTCAGTATTTGGGAATGGAAAGAGGACAGGCACCAACTTGTGTCAAGCATTTATTATGCTAATACTTGTAATGGATCCTGCCTTTTGACCATTACAGAGAAATAGACTGTTTAAGGGCTAATATAGGTAACTCAGAGCTGATATTAAGTCTTCCTGATCAGAAATAATTAAATGATTTGTAACTTCCATCTCCTTTCCAAACCTGTTTAGCCCCCTCAAAATTGCCCGACTCAACCCCCCCCCCCACTTCAGGTATCACTTAGGTAACTAGAGAAATAAATTTTAACATGAAACAATTTCTCAATGTGAGGTTAAGTAGAGCTTTAGTCTGGTTCTCTAAAAATTCAAAAACCAGTCCATGTGTTGTCTCTACCTGACTTAGTTTTTCTTTCCATTTGAACAATTCAACATGAAATGAAACCAGGTTTTCCTGTGGAAAGTTTCAGCTTGATGGGGGGCATGGAAGTTGAGTTCTTTCTTGAAATGCTTGGTTATGTTTAGTTTTATATTGTATCTCAGTAAGATGAGGATGTCTTCAGTTTGAATCTGCACAATGTTCACTGCAAATCACCTTCTCATTTAAAGCATATGGCCTTCACATTTCTGTATAATAAAGATAATTATTGGCTCTCTGGTCTCTCTGTGCAGTTTTACAACTTCAGTTAATTTAACTGGCAATAACTTTCCATACAAGGCCTTTACACTAGGATACCAACCTCTGTTGCCACAGCCCCTTGTCAATCAGCCAAAACTGGAGTCATGAGACTGGAAAATTAGCGGTGGTTGGTGATTCTGGGCAAAAATATGAAAATCGTTTCCTATACTCCTTTATGCCCCGTTTTATTATTCACTCACTTCCCTGAAGCTGGTGAAACTTAAACAGAGGGGGGTTTTGTTTGTTTTGTTT